ACACACACACACACACACACACACACACACACACACACACACACACACACCACACAAACATACACACGCGTGTGCAACGCTGCTAGCATTTTAAACGGTAGTAAAATGTTCTCTATCTAATGCTCTTTGTTGTCTTGACAGTCTTTTTTTGCACATGGGCAGCCACGATGGAGTTATAAATAGGATTGAAGGTTAGTTAAAGAGAGAGAAGAATGTTGACATGAAATCACATGGCTTTGGTTGTAGGAATGAAAATTAATAGACACTTATCGTTTGCTTGTGTGCTTGTTAATATGCCACTGAGGTGTGGAATCGATGTGGTTATACATTTGTTGAGAAGCGGTTGGTGGTGCGGGATAAGACCTCTACAGCTGTATAGGAATGGGGATCGAGTATATTTCAGGAAAGAATTGTCGGTCCTGCCACTGTCTGCTTTTTTATTCATATCAAATGGCAGGCAAAAAGGTCTATAAACCGGCAGTTGACTTCTGACTTCAAACTACCATCACCCCACTGTATGCCATATTCGACTACTTCCACAGTACTCATTTTACCTCTTCTCTGCCTTTGTGTCTGTCTGACTCACATCTGTTAATCATTATTCTGTCCCCCTCTCGACTTTTTGTCACTTTGATGTTCCTCCTCCTCTCTGTGAAGCCGGAAGTCGGCTAAATGGCCAATGATAACCATCAAAACGCCTGCCATTTGAAATAAATAAATAAACGGTAGTTATTACCAGCCCTTTAGTTGACTTCAGGCCTCACTGAGGGGAGGAACATCAAAGTCGCAAAAAGTCGAGAGAGATGGGGGGGGGGGTGGCGACAGAAGTGTGATTCACAGATATAAAGGACATAGATTGGGGTCATGGTAGCTTGAAGTCAGAGGTCAATTGTCGGTTTATAGACTTGCCTATAGTGCACCACGTGGAGGTAAGTCTATCGCACACACCACACACATCACACAAACTATCTATTAACAACTAAGCAGGTGTTTATTTGAAGCTGTCCATTTATTGGGAGCTGCGGTCGTACTCATTGACTCTAAGCTATTTTCGTTGACAAAATGACTTTCACCCGCCTTTTGTTAACATGCCAACCATTTTAAGCCTTAAACCCCTGTTGCGTAAGTGGAATCTTGCTGGTTCGAGTTCCGCTAAAGTTCGGGTATAACGTAGCGTTAGTAGTATGGTCCTACATTGGATATCGGATTTTCATGAATGAAGAGAGTGCGTTGGTTATCACATACAACGATCAATCACTTTTCAATTCGGAAACGACAATGGAAATTGTGGAGTACGGTAGACGGCCACAGAGAGGAAGAGAAAGCAAGAGTGAGCACACCTCAGGTGTAAAAGTTGGATTCTGTCTTCGAAAAAATGATACTTTTATCGACGGATCAAATAAATGTTAGTAAAAAATTAAGAGAACGGGATTTTAATGAACCCCCCCCCCCCCCCCCCGCCCACGGGTGCATTGCTATCCTCTTTGGGTGCCAGAATAGTCGAAGAGGGTACTTGTCATGGAGATGTATGCTTGCATTTGACTCCAGTCCTATCAAAAATTAACCTGGTTTATCAATTAAATTTTTGCATAAAGCTTTTATTTATATGGGAAACCGCGCATTCACGTGCACTCCAAATAGAGTAAATGAGTTGTAATTTCGATGTTTACAGCCTATTCTTCTTCGCCAACTTAATTTTAGCATTAATTTGATTTTCAATGCACTGGGAGACGTTCGTGATGGAGAAGGGGTATGAGATAGACTTACCTCCACGTGGAGCATCCTGAGCAAAGTATACCCATACGGCAAAAAGTCCATAAACTGGCAGTTGACCTCTGATTTCAAACTACCATGACCCCCCAATTGTATATGATATTTGTCCACTTCCACGGTACTCAAATCATCTTACCTTATTCTCTACCCAAGTATCTCCCATCTTCTCCCCTCACTACTTTTTGTGACTTCGTCTGTACCGAGTCAACTCAAGGACTAATGACAACTATCATAAAGCCTGCCATTTGATATGAATAAAATAGATATATATTAACTGGAGAAACAAGACTATTGCGACAACACTGACAATCAATAGGGTAATTAGATCTGAGCATTCGTTTGCCGCTATCCAACTAAGCACTCAACTGAAGAACCTGCCGCATATTACTGGCTAACAAGGAAGGTAATTATTAGCAGGCTAAAGCACTTTTACAAGTCCCCGTTCTGGTGGGCCTGAGAAACTAAAGTATTGCCCCATGGAAATCCCCCCCTCCCCCCCGAAGCTTAGTTGTAAACAGAGATCACCTA